TTCTAAGGTAACGAAAACACAATGATTCCTGTATTCTGGTGATTATACACAAATGANNAGGTAACAAAAACACAACGATTCCTATATAGGAAATTAAACATACTTATGAATATTATATTCCATTTCTGCCAATAGATCCTTCTAAATGTTATACACTGGCATTCAAATAGATACATTGCTTGATGTAAGAAATGCAAATGATGAAGATGATAGCAAACCAAAAATATATTGTGACTACACAAGGTCCATCCATTATATTGTATGCATATAAAGGATCTAGCTGCCCCTAATGGCCTCCGCACACCAACNNTTTAAAAGGGTTGTTTCTGGTTGCAGCAGACACAGCAGTAAACTGGTTAATGCTGTGTTGTTGTGTTCGTCGTAATGTGCGGTGCAGTGGTGACACATCAGCTTGACCAGTCACAAACCACATAACTGCTAGCACCACTGAGAATACCTGGATATGAACTTATGTACCACTTCTGGAGCCCTGCCGAAATGTAGGTTCACAACCTGTTAAGTTCCTGTAGTAGTAAAAGGCCTGTGTGTGCCTTGAGTGTGTCGTAGTCACACACACCATACACTGCTGTGTTTGACACTGTATCACAGACCTGTGATATGTCAGAGATAATCTATTAAAGCAACATCCCTGGACACTGTGTTTATAATTCAAAAGAGTGAAGTATTTTCAAAGCTAATGGCTGCCAAGCATGTGCACACTTACCTGGCACTGTAACTTGAATGATCTCCCCATCTGGAGGCTCCGTTTTAATCCTTTTCAAAGGAATGCAATCTCCTGACGGACCTGCGGGGATTGAACAGTTCATTCTGCCTGAGTTCCCATCGGTGTGTGTCACTGTGTTTTATGGCTGTGTTAAACAGATTTAAGTAGGTGATAGAATGTGTTTGAACTGACTGGACTGCAAAACATGATGGGAAATATTCCATAGAGGCTCCTAAGGATTATTTATATCGATTTAAAACTTTAATTTGATACTTGGGCTTTGAATATATTGTTACTTTAGACAGCAAAGTATCAGGGAAAAAAAAGTTTTTATGATGCAGAAATGCTTTCAATTGCACATACCTGCTTCACAGTCAGCCAAGGGACTCACGCATGCACTTGTTGATCTGTGATATTAGATAAAACACACTCAGGTGAGGACCAAATTACAGAACTGATTCATTAAAGATACACGAGCCGTGTGGGGGGACACACAATTGCTAATGGCCCCAACACTGGAAACTTGAATGAGAATTATTAATTTAATTTTGTTTCGTCTGAAAAACCAAGTAAAGTAAGCGACAACAAGCTTTTCTAAATATGCATCCTTGTCAGTTGATTTATTGGATAAACATGGCACTGTTTCGTTCAGCGGCATACACAAACTAAAGGCCTATTAGAAGGGAAACCAAAGGATATGAACAGAAAAACCTTCCAAAATAAGAGCAAATGAAAATATGAATTAAAGGCTGTCGCTATAATTGTGTCACGGTAGAAATGTGAATGTAAATTCTATAAAACAGTATATTTAATCTGTTTATTTCAGTGCACGTTATGAGTAATGCCGGTTATGAATGCAGTACAATTTAGCAGCATCCCACAGTCTCATATTTCCACATTATAAACAAAGTATGCGGGGGTGATGCTAAATTTCTGTGTGGGCCGTGCTCTGACCTGCTGCTGTGAGGATTGCTGACCAGCTCGGCTGCGGTGGGCGGGATGCTCAGATTGTCGGGGAAGCTGTCTTCAGGCGTGGAGCCCAGGTCATGCTTGCCCTCCTCCCTTGCAATCTTGCCAGCAGCTTCAACAAACAAGACACAGACGATAAACAAACACCGCAGCCCATTAGCGAAAAAACATCTGTGGGGTGTAAATATATAAATAAAAGACTTGACAGAAGAGTCCTCCGTTAGATGGTTACTGTAATTAATTGTAAAGATTCTGACAAATATTGTACGGCTAAATGCCTGGCTCAACAAAGCACCCATGGAATCATTCCAAAATAATTACATTTTGCCCAAAGTTCCCTTTGAAAACATGTAGATCATTTGTCATTTTAATGAAAATGCAGGCTAGTCTTGTGCAATGAGCCACACTAGCTGTGATTTTATCTAATTTTTACTCAATACTGGAAAGTCAAGGTTTGTGCACAACAATCAGGTAACCAAACAACAATTATTATCTTATACGGTCAGTTGGCAGTGTATTAGGTCCATCTAGCATAAACTAAGGCAGTCTAATTCACCAGCCCTGCAATAAATCCTCCTGTCATGAGTGCTACTATGTTCTGTTTTCTGTGATAACAGAAATATTACAGGTTCACTGCATGTCACACTGTGCGAGATGCGTCTCATAAAACCTCGGTTGCAATCTGTGTGACTGTACAATGTCAGTTTTGAGGCATGTCAGTTTGTGCATTAAATGCCTAGTAAATCAAAGTGTTTTTCTATGTCACTGGAAAATAAATATATATGCAAGCAGAGACACATCATCATCCGTCTGTGCCGCTATGCAGCAAAAACAAGCTTCAGTCTTCACAGTTTTTTTTTTTTACTATACTAAAAATGGCACTTAACATATATAGAATGTGGTATCTACGTGTATATGTCTTTGAGTGCTTACTATGCCTG